CACAACCAAATCTGCCTATAGTGGCACTGTGGTGCTATAATCTCAGCACCCCACAATTGGGAGTTAGGGGCTCAAACTTATTTTTGGTTTTAAATCAGCAAAAACGCTTAGAGAAAGCTCTCAACGTGCTCTTGAAAGCTGCCCTCCTTTCTACTAAAAAAAGCCGATTTTTAATTCCTTCTCTTCCAGAAAAAACGTGGGCGTACCAATTCCTTCAGGAATTTTTACAGAATCTATTGGGGGACACTGGTACTGCTACTGACTGAATGCCTGGTACCTATCAAATGGCGGAAACTGTAATGGTACAAAGGAAAGTAGTACGGAAATCTGTAATAGGACCATCGGTACTATAAAGCAAATGTAGATGGTACTGAAAAATAGCGAAATGAAAACTGTAACTTAGTAATAAATTTCTAGATGGGGGTACTTTTACTTGAGGGGGAAAAATAATCCCGTAACACTTTCTGGGGTCGACTGGAAAGAGGAACTTTTGGGTGATGGACACGGTCTGGGCAACTTTCCACAACAAATGGGAAGGAACAGTATACAAGCCAACTCAGAATTTATCATAAGAAAAATTGACAAACTTGAACCGTGGATCTAGGAGGAAGAATAAGGCTTTGGAAAAAATTCAATCAAACACTGACTATAGAGAACACCACAACTTTTCTAATACCCTAACACAGCAAATAAAAGAGGCAAAGCTGATATATCTCAGCAGTTTAACAAGGTTTGAAAATTTCAAAAAAGCTGCATAAATATATACGATCAAATTTAGACAATAAAGTGGGTATACCTACTCTTACAACTGCCGATGGGGATAACAGGGAAAAACCCACAATGCTTGCCAATGAGTTTTCAAAGGTCTTCACGAAGACTCCATTCCAACTAACCTTCAAAGCTATACTGCCAGGGTAATAAACCAAAGCACTACAAGCAACTTTACCTATCAAGACATATCAAAAAGAAATTACATTTTTGAAAACAACTAGCTCTCCTGAACTTGAAGGTGTGTCCACTCTGATGCTCAAAGAATGTACAGAAAGCCTTCTGCACTCCCTATTATAATAAACATGTCCTTCCAGTGAACCAGACTTCCAACTGATTAGCAGATGGCATCACTACAGGGCACAGGCCTATCAGTGTCATCCATTATAGGCAAAATGATGAAGTCCATAATGGTAGACCATGTCAGACTTTGCAGCTGCAGAACAGCTGATTCTCGTACACCACCATGACTTTATTTTAAAACGCAGTATAACTACATATCTCCTAGAATGTCTCAATGGCTGGACCAGACTTCTACACTGAAAAATGCCAGAAGATGTCATCTATCCTAATTTTTCCAAAGCGTTCGACAGGGTGCCTGCAAGGAGACTCCTAAAGAAATTGGAGCATTCTGGGATGAGGGGCAATCTGCTGGACTGGGTCAGGGATTATGTCACAGGCAGACAGTTCCAAATTGCTGACTCTTTTTCGGAGCCACACCCAGTGCTCTCTGTGACACTGGTAGCAAATATTCATGCGACTTATGGGTACAAAACTTGGCTGTACTGAGCTGGTGGAACTTGTTTTCAAGACCGATTCCCCACCCCTCAAGCAGCACTATTACCCCTTATCCCCGGCTCTAGCACATTGCGTGCCACGTCACCAACATATAGGAGACAATCATGTTTTCCAGGGGGCTTGTCACCTATATATTGGGGACGCGCAGTGTTTCACTGCAAGCCGCGTCACCGTTCCTTTGGTGACATTATACATATATATTTTTAATGATCTGTATTCAAGGTGGCTCCCTGAGAAACATTTTCCATATTTTTGGTGGGAGTAAATGTATTCAAATACTCTTTTTATCGCCAATTTAGTAAAACTGTGAATAAAAGAACAAAAGAACCTTGTAAAGTCGGTCTTGAACTTTTCGATGAAAAGTTGATTTCCGGGAAATGAACCTATTTCTTGACAATCAAAACCGAGTAAACAAGGTTCGTTTTTTCAGTGCTCCTTATTGAATCTCTGCAGATATCTGGAATAACAAATACATAATAGTACAGAGATTTTTTCAGTGTCACCAATATACAGGTGACGTGGCTTGGCCCCCGGGGAAGTTTTCCCTATATGACCATGGCACGCAATGTGCTAGAGAAGGTAGTTAATACGGAGCTTGATCATATGTTGGATGATGAAATTATCGAGCCATCGGACTTTCCCTGGTCGCCTCCAATAGTGATGATCCGTGAAAAGCACTGATCTAAAAAATAAATGGATAAACAATCATACGGCTTGATTGGCAAAATTTGTGCGAAAATTTGGGGTCAATATTCTACGAACAGTTGTGCAACGGAACAGCGTAACGCCTGCGCAGTGTCTTATCTTTGGAACAACTGTTCTAAGTTTTGGAATTTCTTCATTTTATTTTATTTTATTTTCATTGGTCAGATTTTGTGCACGCACAGTACATGTATCTACTGCGCACGCTCACAGCTGTCCCAGTCAGTTGTTTTTGTTTAGATTATGACCTCGTAAATTAGGAGCATTAGAAGCGTTCTTTGTTTATCCATTTATTTTTGAGATCAGTGGTGAAAAGTCAGGAAATTGGAGATTTTGTGTCAACTATAGGTCTCTAAATAAGGTCACTACTTCAGACTCTTACTCCCTTCTCTACGTCAGTTCCATCTTGGACAAACTCTGTATTAACTACCTTCTGTAGAGCCACGGATAAGGAGTATTAGCGCTGCTTAAGGGTTGGGGAATCGGTCTTGATGACAAGTTCCATCAGCTCAGTAAAGCCAAGTTTTGTACCCATAGTCGCATGAATATAAGAGATAAAAACAACCTAGAAGCTGTGCAGAAAAAAGCCACGCGGTTGCAACTTGTTAGGAGAAGACCATTCTATCAAGAAAGGCTAACACAACAAGGACTAATTGGTGTTTCGGATAGAAGAATCAGAGAAGATCTTATTTTTACTTATCGAGCTTTTGCAGCCAGAAGATTTCCTCAAATCTTCTCTAAACAAGAAAATCGCAAGTTAAAATAGCTAGGTATAGCTCAAATTAGCAACCGATCCCACTAGATTAGCCAGAACTAATTCTAAACGGCAAAAAAAAAACACCTCCCAACTAAAAATTAGGTAACTTTCCCGACTTCTCCATCACTATTATCAAAACTTATCTAAATCCAATTTCCTGAAAAATGTAAAAGCCACTTAAATAAACTTTTATTAACAAATGCTAATATAACCTTGAACAATAAGGGTAGAGAAGGCGAGAAGAAACCGAAAAGGTCTCCTGGCAATTTTGCGTCCAACGCATTAGGAGGCTCGAAAAATTTCCAGAAGAAAATCCACTCCTTCTCACTGGGGATTTCCCAAAATTAAAAGTTGACGTTTTTCGAAAAAGCAAAATACCCTAGCTGGAAGGGGAGGCAAAAATAAACTGAAAAGGTCTCCTGGCAATTTTGCGTCCAACGCTTCTTAAAGCTAGAAGGAGTTCCAGAAGAAAATCCCCTTATGGGTGATATTATGAGAGACAAAATTAACTTACTAATTATTATGCGTCAAAACTCACGAAAGACGAGAGAAAACGAGAGAACGTCTCGTATCGAGAGACTTATTTTCTCTCGAACTTTCAATACAAAAGGAAAGAAAGCGTATTCTTGTCTCATCTCATCTCGTGGCATCACTAAATAAGCCGCCTAATCTGTTCCGTCATCAAACTGTCCATTTAGGGCAACGCCGGGACACGTGAGCGGGACAGGAAGCCGGTGCTCCTCTGTGGAAGTGGGGGAATTGTTTAAGCGTAATGGGCCGATAAAAGGGACACCGCTGCCATAGGCAAAGGTTCGAATACATAATATCCCTTTGCATTTACCCTTATCGGTATCGGTAATCGCATTTCTGATTCAATTATATCTGGCCTAATCCCTCGTTATGAGAGTGTCGAAATTCCAAAAGGGAACTAAAAGAGGTTTGATGAATAAATATAATAATAGGTACTATATGGTGAAGTTAGAACAAAAACGTTGTTTTTTGTTCAATTTACGGTATTTTGTTTGTCCATTAACGAATTTTTTTAAAATTAATATTTCCGGTTTCTAGTCCTTGTAACGTTATTTTGGCAGCGATACCCTTATAAAAAACATTGCTTTAGCTTTAAATTTTTTCTTCAAGGTGTTAAGGCAATTTTAAAAAAAGTCAGTGTGCCAACCTACAATTTAGAAAAGTTCAAGACAGAATTGAAGCCGAAACTTCTAAACGAAATGCCAATATATCCATATTAATGCCTAATCTGTCTAAGTAAACCTTTCCAAAATCGAAAATCCATTAATACTGTATCAACTTTATAAGTAAAGGTTCCGATAAAATCGACGAAGCAAGAAAAAACGCCACCCCGAAGGCATTCTATATAAAGACGTCGAAGGGGCCGAATCCAGAAAAATCCCGAAAGCAACCTTTATGAAGGCTTATAGGGTGGCGCGAATCGCTTCTTTGAAAATAGACATAATCCCGGCCCATCTTTGATTATCGCCGCTTTCCTTTATTGGATTTTCGGGACTGAATAATTTATTTATTGGCCGAGATTTAGGAGCCTAGTACCACTAACGAGAAAAACGTTTAAGTATTTTTCACTTGTGACCAGAATCATGTTTAATGAACACACGATTTAGACTTTGAATTTTTTCTCCTCTAATTTCTCTAATCCAGAAAACTAAACCCATTATCCTATAATCCGAGTGCAATATATGGGATCCGCGTCGTCTCCCAGCACCTTGTAACGGTCTCCTTGCGGGTTAAAACCGGATCCGCTTTTCCCAACTTTGCCAAACTTCTATAAACTAGGAGAAAAAGTAATTTGGCAGACGTTTTAATCTGTCTTTTGGCTTCGGATAAGTAATGGATTAGAGATTTTATCATTTTTGAGAGTCTAGCTTAGCAATAAACCTTGTGGACTTTGAATAAAATTATCTTACCTCCTCTGCCAGATCCAGAAATAAAACGACTTGGTTTGAATGAAGATAAATTTATTGTAATAATTCGATATTGTTGAACAGAAAATACATAAGGAGAGCAGACACGGTTAATGGGGTCGTAAACACTGATGTCCAAAATAATACGTTACAGCAAGATTGACAACATTTTTTTCCGGCACTTTTTCTAGACGATTCATTTTTCTCTGGATCGGTGGAAGTTATTTCAATTTTCGTCATTAGTGAGGGATCATTTACTAAAATTTCCAAAAGAAATAATCGCAATTAGTTTCAAAATAATACCAACCTGTGGCCTTAATATTATTGTTTTCCTCCTGAAGAGGACTGCGCATAATCAAATATCCATTACTATCCTCTGAACCTATTGAATCACTGGAAATTGTGGAGCTTCTGTGTTGGACATGCTGCGATGACCTTTCAGTTTTAAGTTTGGATATATCAATGTAATATTTTTGTCCTTTGTATATGATATAAGTAAGAGAATCCTGAAAAATTGTATAGTATGCTTCAAGAAATTGAATTGTTGGCTAAAGTTCACTTAGAGTTGGAAACAAACCACTGGGTAAAATTTAATCACATTTTCGATAGACGGAAATGCATTTCAATGGAGGCAGAACTGGACATCTCAGGCTAATTTATGATGATTTACTATTTGTCAGTATAGGAATTAAAACTGGTATCTTTAATACTCAAGGAAAGAGGGTAAGTGGAATTTACTGATCGCATTATAAAATAGAGATTGATTAATAAATAGGTAACTTACCTTTTGTTTAGGTCTGGATAACATGTGGCTTCTAAACGTTTCAAAATCTCCCATTATATGATAACCTAACTATAATCCAGACAAAGGCAAACTAGTTTTAATTTTCAACATTAACTAAGTCAACCACACAAATTAAATTATTTATTCCACATAATGTTAGTGGTTTTCTTAATCGCAAATTTATTTAGGCAGGATGTCTGGTGACTAAAGTTTCAAGATTTACCTAGTAGAGACTCAAATATTTCAAATGCCTGTAAGAAAGGCATCTCATCATTTCAAGATTCTATGTGAACATCTTGTGATAGATTTCCTTTTCGCGGTCTTTTCCCTCTCCCTATCTGTAAGTTTGGGAGGGTGGTATGCCACAGCACTTAGGCCTCATTTGGCCCATTGTGCGCCTCCACAAGAGGAGAAGTCATCCTTAGCTTGTCATCCAACCTAGCGAGTCAACGTAGGCGATGACTTCGCGGAGAGCGGTGCGGTGATCTCTTCTAGTGATAGGTACGATTGGCCTAATCTGGCTCTGCGTATTAGCGAAAGATTAGTGCAGTCACAGAGAATGTGCTCTATGGTCTCGTCTTCTTGATTGCAAGCCCTAGACAAGGGTGTGGTAGTGCGATGCAACCTAAACAAATGTTTGTTTAATTGACAGTGGCCCGGCCAGTCAAAATGTTGTTATGTTGGGGCATGTCATTTTTTGGACGTGATCTAGTTTTTGACTTATAGTAGTTTGTTTGGCCTTATGTCCCTACACCTTCTAGCCCCATAGGTAAGCATAGGCCTGATGATGGTTGTGTAGATCCACATAACTGGGGGAGAACCCCCAGGTCTTACCGATACTACGTCCACACTGTTCATAGGCAATATATTCTTTCTGTATTCTCTTTACAATATGAGAGTTCCATGTTAGTTTGCAATCGAGTGTCACTCCCAGATACTTGACCTCGGCGGTCAGGGGCGTCGCGTCGGGGGGGGGGGGGGGGTAATGGGGGTAATTACCTCCCCCCCAGGATCCAAAATTCAAGGGAAAAATCACGATGCCCAAAAGAAAATACATAATAATATTAAAGAAAATACATTTTTGTTTTGTTTTATTTTTTTCACAAATGAAATTATTGTTCTGGAAAAGTGAATGACCTTGAAATTGACAAAAAATTTAGCCTGCGGCGCGTTAGCGGGGGGTCGAATCTTCCCATTACCCCCCCTAGACTGCAAGTCACGCGTCGCCACTGTCGGCGGTAAATCTTAGTTCGGTGTTTAGGAGTCTGGGTGCTGTCGGAACTACCAGTTTCCTCTTTCTTGTGAATATGACCATTTCAGTCTTTAAGGGATTGATGGACAGACAGTGGCGTAACTAAGGGCCCGCAGGGGCCGCAGTTGCGGGGGGGCCCCGTGACTTTGGGGGCCCCGCCAGGGCTAGTTTTAAAAAAAAATACAAATGTACTTCTAAATCCGAATTAGATTCAATTGGTACAATACGAGAATTACTCCATTTAATCTTAATTGAACATGTGGAACTTAGTTCTAGTTTTACTGAAGTAATCTCCGTAATATCTTATTTTTGACGTTGCCTGTAATAGTAGTGAAGGCAGAACGTTCGTTTTCAAAACTCAAGCTTACTATTGAAAGCTTATTGTTTTCCTCTATGACACAAGGTCGACTATAAAGGCATTGGGACTGCTGTCCAAAAAAGCTGGGAAAGCTAGTAAAATGGACATATCTGAATAAGTTAGGGCATATGTCATCCACAAGGCCCACAGAAAGGATTTTTAGGTTTTGGTCTTCTCTTTGCTTTTCTTTTATTTTACTTCACGGGGATTTTTCTTCTTTTTCAAATATTTTCTTGTTCAGTGAGTGTTTATTATATGATATGTTATATTTTTTTCTTTTTTTTTCTTTCGAATATCTACATCAATATTTTTTATGTTCCTCGTTTTGTTATATTTACTGTTTTTATTATATGCTTTATTTAGGTTTCGTATATTCCTTATTTTTTGTTTTATTTTCAAAATTTGATTTATGTATGTCTTTTGGTTTCTTACTTAAAAACGAGTTTTTAAACAACTGAAAATGAAAGCGTTACTTCATTCTACTACAGCTAATATTATGTAAATGCATATATCTAATACAGGGTATCCCACCACGTTTTACCCAGGTGATAACTTCGGAAAGCATCAACCAATATAATTGAAATTTTGAGGATCTGGGTAGTAACTTTTTGTTCCACTTCTAAATTCATGTGTAATCTAATTTCACCACTTTCGCTTCAGTTTCGGTCAAGTGAAGGCAACTTTAGAAGAGTTTGTCAAAAAAAATGATAAAGAAATACTTAGTGGAATATTCGATGACGCGTTCCGAAGTAGTTATCACCTGGAGCCCAATTCTTGAATAATCTCGCATACAAAATATGATATGATTTCGAATATTTCCTATTTATTCAACGTTGCTGTCATTCCAATTCGAATCCAATTACGTATGCGAGAATTTTCAAGAATTGAACTCCTGGGTAAAACCTCGTAGGAAACCCTGTACCTATATACTAATATAATTATATTAAATATAAATTTATTTGTTCATATAGACATGTATATGTATGAATATGTTGTACTAATATTATTATAGATATATATATATAGAGAAAAATTAATTTAAAAAATATTGGCCCCTGAAAAATCCTTGCGGGGGGCCCCGAGTTTGAAGTTACGCCACTGTGGACAGAGTGTATTCCGTGCTTCTTAATCGCAAATTTATTTAGGGCCAAATTATGGACCAACTGGTAAGTGACTGGTTGTTACCTAGCGGGTACTTTCTATTCTCTAGTGCATAGAAAGTACCTGCTAGGTAACAACCAGATGTTTACCAGTCAGTCCATAATTTGGCCCTTAGGCAGGATGTGTGATATCTGAAGTTTCAAGATTTACCTAGTATACAAGGAGTCCGGTAAGTATATGGCGTACTCTCGGGAGCGTATAGGAGGGGTCAAAATAACCCTACTTTGTTATAAAAAAAATCCTTAAATGCCCCTTAACGGAGATACAGAGCCCCAAAAAATTACTTGGCGATTCACATGTTTGACTCTTACTTTTGAGCCGACTTATGTAATTCAATGAAGTTTCAATCTTTTATGTTGGCCATAAAGACTCATAAAACAGTAGCTGTTTCACATAGTCTGGGAAGTCAGGAATGGACTTGCCTCCATATCCCTTGTGCCAAATTTTTGACAGGAGTAATTTTACAGAGCTGAAAACTGATTTTCTCAATGTTGGTGTAAGAATATCATATTCTCGCACGCAAAATCGTTGAAGAATGAAGCTCATTCTTCAACGATTTTTAGTGATATTTAGGCCCGGTTTATTCATATTTAGATAAACTTGCTGGTAACTATCTGCAAGATAAATTTACAGTTCTATAATTCTATTGGTCGGCGGATAACTGGTTGACCAATGGGATTATAGATTGGGTTTTTATCCGTCAGATTGCATACCTGATAGTTTATCAGAAGCTGAATAAATCGGAGCTTTCAAAGTACCTATTGGTTACCTTGAAAATTATCAAACCTTCTAATAGTTATTTATATTACTAGTACCTACGGTATGAGCTTCATTACAATAACGAGTGGAGAATATTGCCAAACGAGGTCGTAGACAGAGTCATGGTAACCACACGAGTGTTGTAATGAGCCTTACCGTACGTGTGATATACAGCATTTTATCTACGACCTGCAGAATATGTTGGACAGAGGCTGCATTTGTTGAAGGTAGAGAAGCCAGCTCAGAAGTTGGCTTTGTTAGTGATCTTGAAAATGTCTCATAGCGGATTTGATCCAAGGAGGTCTCATCTGCTTGAGGTGAATAGAGGGCTGCCAAGAAGCGCTGACCTGCTGAAATGAGAACCTCAGGATCTGCATCTTCATGATGAAAAACCTTGACAGTCTCTTGTAATGTCGTGTTCTTTTCAAGAAGCTTGACAAACTTCAACTTTCCTTGGCGATAGAATGCAGAAGTGGTATCACATCCACTGATTGCATGTAGGAACAGAATAATCTGTTTGACAACGGACGAGAAGTTGTACTTGGGAGAGTAGAAGGTGTTCTGAGAGGTTCCCTTTCCAAGTTTCATGACGTAAATGGTGGACGAATTTGGTGCTTTGACGGTTTATAGAATAAATAAATCGGTGTAATCCCTGATTATCATGACGGTCGCAAAGTTATCTGTCAACTGGCAGTGTTGACAATAGGGGTATCAGCATCCTGAACACTTTGCCTTACTTTATAGTCATTCTGTACCCATTTCTCAACGCAGCATGGATATCAGCCGTTCTTTGTTATTGTCGTTGGAGAGAAATTGTTCTTTGGGCATGGTTGCGTTCATCGTTTCAGTGAACACCACATTTGCAGAAGAGTACTAGCTTTTTCGGCGAAGCCGCTCAGCTGATTTGGTACTCTTTACTGATGCCGCATCAGGATGGCCATCAAAAACGATGGTTGCACTGGCAGGATTGTAGTATTTCTTAACGTAGTCCACATATTTTGAAAGAATTATTGAAAATTTTTCCTTGGATTGCCATACCACTCGATGTAAAAGGAAACCACCCATCAATTACAATAATGGCACTATCTGCAAGATTTGGTGGATCGGTCACTGGTGAAAGAAAATCGTAGAACACAGATTTTTTTGGTGATTTGCATTTTTGTTTCATCAAAGATAGAAAGGGGATGAGGAGACAACTGAAACTCAGTGGCGTAGCTATCGTAAGAAAATTCGGTGCGGCGCCCCGGGGCCCCGATGGTAAAGGGGCCCCAAAGCCGAAAAATATACCTACTAGCGAAAACTCACAGGGACAAAAGTTTTAAAAGAACTTCGAAATAATGTATTAAAGCCAAGAGATTCATACGAAGAAATTAAAGGTGGAGCAGTGGAATTAGCACGACAGTGGAATGGTAATCCAGTGTTTCCAGAAAAAAAGCAAATCCGACATGAAAAGCATTTTGATAAACTCGCGAACGACAGATTTGAGAGCTCTGAAACCAAATTTAAAGTGACTATTTCTTATCGTGTAATTGACGAAGTAGTTAGTCAACTATTACACAGGTTGATATGGAATATGTTAAAGATTATTTTGACTCTTCACAACCATATATTATTATTACTTCTTCTGAATCGACAATCGTTGAAAAATGTAAAAAATTGTGTATCAAATACCCGAAATTAATCATTATTCTAATACCCCAATATGTTCACCTTATTACTTTAGCCAAGGACCATCTAAACATCTAAACGACTCTATGAGCGTCAGGCAATATTTTCAATTAATACTTGAAAAATTTGGAACATCAGAAAGTGACTTACATCTCAAGTGTATATGGCATTCTTATTATTTTTGCCTATCACAGTTGCCACTGTTGAACGACCCTTTAGCAAATTGAAAATTTTAAAGAATTATTATTATTGGGGGGGCCTCTGCAATTTATTTGCACCGGGGCCCCGTCCAACCTTGCTACGCCACTGCTCAAACTCAAAGAAGCACTTCAACTGTTCCTCTGATTTTTTTTAGAAGTGTTATGCGTCGGAAAAGTCTATCTGGGTTTACTGGCATATCTTCGCCATGAATTTTTACTTTTGAGTTGAAACTTTTAAGAGTAACCTCTCTGTTTTTTCGTTGAAACTTGACATTATTGAAGTCGATGCCAATAATTTTAGCAATACTCTGAATTCCTTTCTCAAACGCTTCATGGCAATCAAGTTTCTCATCGCCAGTTACGCCTGTGCTAATGGACATCACAAACTGTCCTAGTAAAAAGGGATCATGAGATGAAAACCAGTCAAGAAGGATTGCAATATTTGCATTGTCCCTCTGTACCCTTGAGAACCTAGCGTCTACTTGCTGCTCTGAAATGCCATACTTCACGCCACAAAAGTCTTCCACTTGTACAGAAATTTCCATAATAGTAGGCATTGTGGCAACCCAAGATACCAGTGTACTGTCCGTTATGCCTCGTCCATGTGACAGCCCACCTCGAGCTTTTAGAGACCTCATGACGACCTACTCAATAGTCGGATCAGTAAACGCACCAGACCAAAACTTGTCAGACCTTCTGATGGCGAAGAAGCCTCGGTTCACTTTGTCATATTCATCAGGCAACATCTTTTGTTTCGAATCCATCATATCTTGGAGGTACAATTGGCATGACTTAGCATATAAAAAGTGACCGCTGGAATGAAAGTACGGCAACATCCGTTGCACCGACTGTATATGTAATTGCCAATTGCCAGTTCCCTCAGCCTCTATGAACTGCTTGACGATGGACACCATGCGGAAATACTGCACCCACAGCTTTGCGGTATATCCATTCTGCTGAAGCTCTGACATTTTGTCGTAGAATTGTTGCATAATGCTCATGAGTACTGGTTGGTCCAGAAGTTGTAAAAAATGTGGAGCTCCTATATTATTTAACGAATGTATTATTGCCTGATTATTGTCATCATTGTTGACAATATAGTTCTTGCCAATGCCTGGTGAACTAAAATATGACCCCTGACAGCTCTTGAATATGCGTGCCCCATCAGCATTTTTTCTTTGGACTGTCTTGCGTAAATGGTGCTAAAAACATCCTGTAGCCCACTACCGTTCATAATATATTCAATAGCCCTCATAAAAGACATCAGGAGGTGGAAGCCACCTAGGCGCACGATTACTGATAATAATGGAGATTCAGAATTGCAAGAAGCCACTATCTCTCTGGCTTTGTAATACATAGGCTGATCAAACGTCACGAAGCAGCATTTTTATTTATCACCTCTTCGTTTAACTGAATCAAGTAAAACAGAGTATATAGTGGCAGGGTTTCCTGGAGGTGTATTCAGTAATGGTAGGCACAAAATACGAGATTTTTGGAATGGCTGATCAGAAGTAATCTTGTTGATGAATCTGTTCCACCCTGGGACATCTGGGTGCTCTCTTCATTTCCCATACAACCACAAGAAGTCACTGGGTGAGAGGTTTTATCGCATCGATCGGGCTTGGTTTACATCATAGATACAAATTGACTTAGGCCATCCTGCTTGGTTTTTTGAAAGGTGACCAAGGGTATGTTTCCGATTTCCCCAGTTTTTTTTGCTTGGGGTACCTTTTTCAATCTTTTAATTCTTGCTTCTATCCAGGCTGAGGAGTGAGGGGTTATGCATTGGAGCCCACCCATAACATGCCATGTGTTGGAGCCGTCAATCGTGTCTACGGTAACATCAGCATTGTGACGCACCCACTGGCTCAAAGAATTTTCCAGAACGACCTGTGGTTGGTCTTGAAGGACAGATGCTTGAAGCAGCTGAACTTCGAAATATGAACAAGAAAACTCTAGACTTGATAGCACATCCAGGATTTCTCTTGATCAGTACTTTTGATGAAGCGTTGACCCAAGTCCTACGAGCAGTGGGGAAAGGAAGGACCACGGTCTCGCAGCATTAATTATCGCGCAATAGCATAGGTTTTCGTTTTTGGTGCAGGCCGAGCGGAAGGTATTTTTCCCTCTTTGGGGTTTACAATTAACCCTACAAGTACCTACCTCAAGGGTTTCTGGAATGTCATTCTCAATGTCCTTCAAAAATTCGTCTACTTTGGGGTAACTATCAAGGGGATAAATCACTGTCCTAATATCCTCGTGGATATTGGCAGCGGCGGCTTTCACTATACGAAGTCGCTCTTCTTTTTCGTCCTGGAGTCATACCAAGATTAAGTTAAAATTTTGTAACCTGTATTTCGAAAGCATATTACAGTTGGCTTATTTTTACCCCTTTCGCTAGTGATAATAAGGTCGTCTTCATACTTTGTTTTCAGTTTTTTCATCAGGGATTTATGAATTGGGACAAAGCCTTCTAAGTCTTCCAAAATTTCTGACAAAGTGAATTGCTCTTCATTTTCCTCGATGTATTTGCAATCTAAAAGTAAAAAAACATACTTTAAATTGATGCAAAATTTAGTGTTCCAAAATTGACTGATTTAAAAATCTGAGGCAGTTATATTACGTAGAATTTTATTCTCTAAAACTTTCATTCCATGTGTTTTTTTAATAGGAGAATCTGTTTTCAAGATATGTGGTCTTGGAAAGCCGCAAAATGTAAGTTTGCACCACAATACGATTTTTTTTTCGTTTTTAACTTTCGATTTCGGCTATACCACTCAACCAAATTTAAAGTTTTAAATGTCAATCGACGCAGAATTTAGTCCTCTTTATTTTTGAATAGAATGACATTTTCCGGCCGACGCACCGCTTTCCAGCTATAAGCAAAAACTTAAAATAGTGCAAAAATTTGGCGGTTTCTTGGCTACCAAAAGTTAAGCCTGGGATGGTGCAAACTCAGATTACACGCATTTAGGACTAAATAGAGGTTTCAAAACGATAAAAAATTAATTCCTCAAAACGGATTTTTTTCCTAATCATCCAGAGCAGGAAAGGACAACTCGAAGTATCAGCAGGCTTTTAAATATTTTTATCACTAATATTCTTAATACTTAATAAACTTTATCCTTTTGTCATAATTTGCCATATTCGCTGCTTGCATGGCGCATTCACAATATAACAAATTGAAACAATTAAATTTAATGAAAATTGAAATAGCATCATTCGAAACTGGAATTAATTGAAATTTCTAGTTGATCAAAATTTATATGGAACACACACACACGGAACTAAAACTAATTATTATGTGCCTTTGATTGCGTTTCGTAGGAAATAAACTAGGGGAGCACAGCGTCTGTATTTGCAAGGGTCCAAAATTGCTTGAAGCCTTGCCTTAAATTTGCCAGCTTATTATAGTAATGAATACGGAATTATACGAACACAATTTTAAAAATTGCCATAAACTCCATTTAGTTCAAAGTACTTCATAAAACATAATCATGAATACTACATGCAATAATCCATGACACAATGTCACCCATAATTACGTTCTAACATTATAGTGCTAATACGTCTTTATTATGGCTATAAATTTCGTTATATGCCACGCTTGGCAAATTTGGCTTTAAATTTCGAGCCAAATTCTATACTTTGTTTTGTTCCAGAATGTTACGCCAACTTGCCACCAAGTTTTACAAAAGACATGAACAACATAGTGATATCAGAAAGTACTCCTGTAGGTGAAGAAATCTACAAATTGGAAGGTACCGATCCAGAAAATAGTCAGCTTCGCTATGATTTAACTGGTACAGATGTGCTTAGTGTTGATCATAATACTGGAGCCGTTACTATTGTTAAAGCTTTGAATTATGAGGTAAGAATTTTTTTAATGCAGTGAGGGGTAAATCACTCATGGAAATACCTGTTCACTTTGCTAGAAGTACTTGGTTATACTCTGGGAATACCTAGGAATACTTGGAAATCGTTAAAAATACTCTGAAAGTAGATAGGAATACCCTGGAAGTACATGGGAATAATTTGGAAATACATGGAAGTACTTGTAAATTTCTATAACTTCCAACTTCACTTTTACCGTATTTTTAGGCATTTTCATTAAAATATCAAGAATTGCGTGCAGGTTCGTTACTAAAATATAATCTATCTCAAATTTATGAAGAATTTACTCAGGGGTGGTATCATATTTCGAACACCCTGTAAAATAGAAAAAAAGCTGGAAACTGCTATGGATAGATATTTTTACGTAGAATTCAGTGTTTTAGTCAATTTTCTTTAAGCAAACTGTTTTCGAGATATTGCCCAAACTTAGTAATGTTTAAAGGGGACACCCTACATTATTTGGTCCCAAAAAATTCTCCTTTTTTTTTCTCTTCAAAATGATGTGTCACACTATGAATTTGTGACGTAAACTAACCCTTAAAATGCAATATTAAAAGAAAAATGTAAGTTGGCCATGGAATTATAGGTAGGTATTTAACTCGGGTTTTAAAGTGTCCACAAGCAAAATTGAACAAAATAAAAAATTAATATCCATTTTTAAATGTGATCTTGACTTGATAAACTTAATAATTTTGAAAACTATCAAGATGCATCGTTCTTCGGTCTTAGTTTTTTCGAAATATTCCAATGTAATGTATGTACTAGATAATGTATACTATTTTCTAGAATATTTTATTTTTCGTTTTGCTAGGCCATGCAAGAGACAGAGGTCATTAGTTGGTAACATAGCAGAAAAATTAAAATCAAGAAACCCACACTTTGTCGGTTCTTTTCTAATGAAAAATTTCGTCTATCAAGTGAAAGAGTATTACGAGCTTGGTTACAAGTTAGAGGTGCGCAAACGAGAAGAACACATACAAAAGATCTGGATCAATCTGCAAAATCTTTAAGAAAAAGACACGGAGGTGCAGAGTAAGTGTCAGACTGAAAGTGAACCTGATAATTATTCTGATGCCTATAATAGTCCATCCTGGAGTTCATCATTAAATATTAGGTCTCTTTCTGCAGAGATCACAAACTAGTCAGAGTGAATTTTATTGGTTGGAACTAGTTTTCTGAGTGTTTTCCATCGATGAAATCGCTCCGACTGATTTGTGATTTCTGCAGAAATACCTATTGAATTAGAAAGCCCCACGTTGGGCGCCAAATAATTTACCACGCTTTTTCGGTGAATAAAAAGTTAAAAAAAAAAAAAATGAAAATTTAATGGATACTTGGGATTGCAGGACTGAAGGTCGAAGTGCGTGCAAATTATGCCCTCGCTCAAAATTAAACAATTCGGAGAATAGGGATGGGTTTATTTTTAGGTGTCACCGACTTAGGACAGATGAGTCGGACTCTCCAGGATGTTATCTGGGTCCAGGTCTTCACAATACAAGTGCAGAAAACTAAATAAAAGTCAATATGAATCAAGTGCTATAGTCTGTTTATTCACTAAATTAGCAACAATACCAATCAAAGATTGAATAGCAACTATTTATGAATTGCCATTAATTACTAGATAAAGTGACCTGTTAATGAAGGGTCAATCAACAACTTCAGTAATGGCTATACTATTGAAATAATTGCTATAGTCATAAACAATTAAATTAAATGTGAAAATCGAAAATGTTATTGTAACTCAATAACCAAATGAATAATAAAAAAAATCTAAAAGTTGAAAATGCCAAATAAAGAGCAATAATAAAATAAATAGTTGTCGAAGCGGTTACCTTACTCTGAACTACAAGTAAGTTGACATAAATAATCCACCACGAAATTACACCCTAAACATACCGCGGTGATCACTTTGGCGCACTAAATAGGGCCAAAATGTAAATAAATAATAAAATAAATATAGGATAACTACAGCTAGTACGATACTAAAATGTTCCAGATGGTAGCAGTAGGTACAATTAACCAGATTAGTCCTGGGTACTGGTTGTGGTTAAGATGGTAAAACCAATCCTAATGTTCAAATTTACAGTCCGGAAGGAAATACTCTTATCCGTTGGATTAGCCAGGATTTGAAATCCTGGAGTGAGTGAGGTGGTCTTTACTCTACTCCTTAGGACAGCTTTTCACACATGCATGGTTGTAAAAATCCGAATTAATCGGCGATTTTATAGCACTCTACGAAAACTTAGGGCAAAGTAAGGCAACTCAATGTACTATAAATTCAATAGTTGAGAATATAAGGTCGAAATCCTTCAAAGGCGAAGACGAAATTTAACTCTTCAGAAAGACCTTATTTCTCCAACCACCAAATGTGAAAAGAAATAGGCACCGCATAAAATAAATAAATAAATAAAATTATCTGTCCTAAAGGTAAGGATTTAGAGATGAGTCAAAATAACGACAAACGTCAGAAATTGATCGATAGAATTTTTACGTACCAAAAATTGCACACAACAATATAATCAGAGACAAATGACAACAGCTGACGACTAATGATAATAGCAACAAGTAATTAGAGAATTATTGGAACTATTAAATACTGCCTCGCAGTATTAAGGATCTACGTTATTTTATTAGTGCTTCAGCACTATTTCTTCAAGAAAAGAAGAGTTATTGGAAGACTGTAGTAAGTGTTAGAGTATTACATTATTTTGTATTCATAATTTTGACAGATGAGCAATTTTTATAAATTTCAAACTCATAAACTGTTTATTTTTGTATGCTAATTTCTGCTGATACCCATTTTTTGATGTTACCTATAGTAAAAGGAAAAACTATTGTAAAGAACAAATTCTTTGAGCAAAATTACATCATCGTGGAAAAGCGAAACGTCAAATTCGTCAAAAATGTCATAAGTATTGAAATAAGGGAAGTTTACTGCTACGCACTAACCATACACAAATAAAGACAAGCAGTAACCTTATTAAGGGAATCCTTATTTTCAGACCCAAATGCGCATGCGTAGATGTCAAAATAAGGCGAATTTAAATACTGCTTGTCCTTATTGCATGTCCAATAACTCTCTATTATCCAATAGAACAATCATAATTTGAAGAATACGACATTGGGTAAGCAATCCGTGTTGCAAAATATAAGCGCTCACTAGGAATCGATGATCCCAAAAATATTACGACACTTCACCAGTCAACTGCAATGAACTATAACCAAAAACTGGAATGCGAACACATATTGACGAACGTGAAGCCTAGTGCCGCTGCTGCGGAGGGGATACCTGTTTTTACGCACTCATTATGTTAAATTGCGGAAATTGCTTCCAACGCGTATTCCAATTGATGAAACCTGTGAAGGTAAATATGACAAAACTTTCGAAAACGTCATATATCAGCGAGCAACAGAAAAAAACAAAATTTCCCTTTGTGGCATCTGTCTTTCATGGCTACATATTATTGGCAGATATGGCAATGTGTGCGCATTCCAGTTTTTGACTATAGTTCATTGGTCAACTGAGACAAAAATAAAGAGTGACATGACTTAAGCGTCAAGTGTCAAAATAGAGAGCAAAGGGAGCAATCCGGTGGTTAATGGAACAATGATTGAACCAGGTGCAGAACTAAAACTAGTGCTGAGTTCAGCAACCGAACAGAGTAGTACGAACAGCACAGCATACGGTACTTACTTTGAAAACGGATCACGATTTGGGAAACATAACCCTAAAATAATATTTTTCGCAGGTGAATATTTGATTTATTTATAATCAATTTATTATTGGAAAATGGAATTAAAATATCGATTAAAACCTTGGAATATGAAACTACAGGAAGGAGCATAACCTCGAATCTGCGCGACCAGAATATGTGGAGGTTGCATATGGCCGACTAGTGTTTCCGGTTTGGCAATGGCGTATATTTATTTAAATATGATTGTCAATATTATGGCGCACTCTTTTCGCACTAATCCCAGTGCTTATCATCACTTAAAACCGCTAAAATCCATTTAACATCCACTTGAATGAGGACAAAGCGAACCACCAAAACAAATGATGAGTCATACTTGGAGGCTCAATATGGCCGTTTCCGTCCCTGCGTTGTCTGTACTGACCGATAAAAAACGCTCCTTTCTGTAGTTTTATATAAAAAGATTAAAACTGAGGAAAATCATTAGTCGTCACAAGTGCAAATATAATTTAAATATTGAAAATTAGAAAATTTAAGTACAGGATCTGCAATTACTGTAATTATTGTTGAAATTTTATAAAGGAAAAAGGTAAACAAAGTTAAAAGAATTTTGAATCGAAGACTGAAAATAAGTATGAAATAGTTGGTCAATTTTGGCACGTTACAACTATTCTGTATATTACGACGAGACTTGTCACATAGGACGAATATAGTTGAAAAGGTGGAAAAAGAAAACTTAGAAATAAAATTTCTCAAGCGAGATTTAGATAACTTTATTTGGACAAAACCTGAGGATTTACAGATTGTATCGAAATTTTTTTTATTCTATGGGCCTATATCCATGAAAGGATATGACCCTTTTTCCATTCGAGACATGATTACATAAACATACAAAAACATAAAAAAAAATTACGCAGTTATACATCAGTGTGTCCCAGGGAAAACAGTTCACTCAAGATAATAATAGTTATGCAATAAAGTTTCATAGTCACTTCACTTCATAGTCATTTCAAGATTGATAAAGTCAAAATAAAACTTGTCACTAGAGTACTTATATTTAAATTATCGCCCTTAAAGTCACTTAATTATTCTAATTTCTTTTGATTATTTAGAGCTCGCACATAATGTTGAACGAATTTAAATGTTCTTTCACAATTTTCCGCTACTTTTCCAAATATTCGATTTAACGCGTTTTCCCAAGGCAACAATATAAAATAAACTCCTCGCGAATTTTATCCGCACTGACTCATTGGGTACTGTAGACTTAAACTCAAGACTGAACTGAACTCAACTGGAAACTTAAACTGATTCCAAAATTCCGAAACCGCTGTATTTTTCGATCCCCCCAACATATTTCCGGGTCATGTGAATTCATTGACCGTTCTGACATATTTATTTGGTTACAACCGAATATTTATGTCGCAATTTCCTGGATTATCGGGGTCAACAGATTTGTTGTAACAATGTGAGGACGAATAACTCAAAGGATTTCGGAAAACTCGTGTCGGCCGTAAGTCACCAATTTAATTACTTTTACCTTGATTTTAATATTTTTATGGATTTGATTTATGAGTTGAAGGTGATGACACGCACTTGGTCCCCGGCTTTTTTTTTTTAATTTGAACTTATATAAATATTTTAATTAATTTGGGGTCAACTCTAATTTGTCTCATCATTTCCCAGTTTTATTGATACTGATTTGAAATATTGGAGATTCAATTTTTGATTACATTTAATTTTTACTGTTGAGACATTGTAAATTACTGGTCTATTTTTCCTGGGTCATTACAATGTGTTTCACTAAAATTCGTCCTTTTTTTCCATATATTAAATTTCCTAATTACCTAAAGATTTGAAAATAAAATAGTATGTAGATATAACTTAGGATATAACAAAAAGGTAGTGGGTGCACCGTGTATTTAAAGACCTATTCAACAATTCAAGGACATCTCTCCATAAGAATACAATAGAGGAAACTATTCCTATTTTCATTTTCATTCGAATGACATTCAACGGCAGTTTAATGATCAACATTTTGGCCCTAATATTCCATTACCTAAAGCTAACAGTTGGCATATTATGTTTAGTTTACTATAACAATATGTTGAACTTTAAAAGAAATAACTAGGACATGGAAAACATTTTTATTTGTTGGAAATACCTAAGGGAATACTTAACAAAAAACAAAATACAATTTAGTTTCTGGAAATATCTAGAAATACTTGGAAGTACCGCGCAATACTTGTAAATACCAGGGAATACTTGGAAATACAGTCCAAATTTGAGAATCATTCCCAGAAACTGGCAATCACTGTACATTTTTTCATGAATGGTTGACCCCTCGCTCTTCAGTGAGTTTATTCATCAATTATTGTGTTTCAGGCAAATTCTACCCTAAAACTCGTTGTAAGCGTAGAAGACGAAGTCAAAGGTGGTGTTAAAAACAATATTGTAGAACAAGCAGTGAATGTCATTATTTTAGATGAAAACGATAATCCTCCAGAGTTTGAAAATGTATGTAGATACTTCGGTAACAATTTAAAATTTACAAGACTTTTTTTAGGCACCCTATGAGGTCACTGTAGATGAAAATGCTTCTATAGGTACCTCAATTTTAACTAATATATCTGTGATAGACCATGATACAGTAGGTCAAAATATAGAAGTCACTTGCCTGAACTCTTTGGAGTCTATTGATGCTTGTGACGTTTTCGCTGTCGAAGAAATCAGTTCGAGTGTGGACTCGTATAAGGGAGCTTTAGTACTAATCAAACCATTGAACTACAGCATCCAAAACAAGTATTCTTTTATACTTAAAGCATCTGTAAGTAATTTATACAACTGTTTGAATATTTTTTCATTTTTGTAAATACTAGGATGGTTCTTTGACAAGCACTTCAGACGTTATAATCACTGTAAGAGATATTCAAGATACCCCGCCAAGATTTTTAAATAATCTCACTGCAGAGCTTCCTGAAGATGCTTCAATTAACACTCTGGTGTTCACTGCGAAGGCTGAAGATGGCGATAGAGGCAATCCCAGAACTATTGTTTATGAATTGGTTAATAGTAAGAATGTTAGATAGGTAATGTTTTTATTTAACACAAACATTAATTTTCTATAGATCCAATGGATTATTTCCTTATCGACCCAATGTCGGGAGCCTTATACACTGCCAGACCATTGGACAAAGAATCCATCAAAGATCCAGAAGGTATCCTAAAATTTGAAGTCAGGGCACACGAACTAGTGAATGGTATGAAAAGTGACGATCCTTCCACTTTTAGCAGTGCCCAAGCTATCGTCAAAATATTAGATGTAAATGATGAACCGCCAAGATTCAATAAAAGAGAATACTTTTTGGAAATCCCTGAGAATATTCCTGAAGGTTCAGCCTTGCCAGGTTTGGACATGTCAGTTTTTGATCCAGACGAAGGCAACAACTCAGCTTTCGCTTTGGAGTTGAACGATATTTCCGGAGCATTTTCAATTGAACCTAAAACAGCCATTGGCTCAACCCCTGTTACCATTAGAGTGTCACATAACAATTTGGATTATGAGGATCCTAATCAAAGAAAATTTATTATTTTAGCTGTTGCCACGGAAATTTACACCGAAAAGAAACTATCATCAACTTCAACTATCACTGTTTCAGGTAATAATAATTCTACATTGTATGTTTTTACAATTATTATATACAATTAATTTTCTAGTTGTGGATGTTAATGATAATGCCCCAACCTTCGATCAAGACAGTTACTCAGCTACAGTATCAGAAATAGCTTCGCCAGCTACCCCAGTCATCACAATAGTAGCCAAAGACAGAGATACTGGCAAGTTTGGTGAAAACGGCCTAATTTATAAGCTATCAGGCAACGGTGCAGAGCTATTTACAGTTAATAATAGAACTGGAACAGTTACAGTAGCTCCTTGTGAAAACTTAGGAGTAGCCCCATGTTTGGATTTCGAAACCAAACCTGAATATCATTTACAATTTATTGCCACAGACGATGATGGAAAAGGTCAAACTAGTACGGTGCCATTAAAAATTAGCTTATCTGATAGCAACGATAATGCTCCAGCTTTTGGACAATCAACTTACAGAATTTTCGTCAATGAAGGTGCCACAAGATTTGAACCTCAACAGATTATTGAGGCGATGGATGCAGATAAAACTTCACATGTATCTTATGCTATTGTAGCTGGCAATGAAAATGAACTGTTTAAAATTGATTCTGAAACTGGGAAATTAAAGATTACTGGTAACAGAGGCCTGGATATTAGCAATGATACTGATAATGTTATCACATTGACTGTTTTGGTTGGTAATTAACTTAAGCCTATTACAGTTTTTTAAGTTTTATATTTTCAGGCTACTGATGGTAAATTTACAGCTACAACTCTAGTTAACATAACAGTTTTAGACGTCAATAACAATTCGCCAATATTCCTTAAGGAAAGCTACTTGGAAGCTGTAGCAGAAGATGTTCCAATAGGTACCAACGTTGCAGAAGTTAAAGCTACAGACGCGGATAATGGAGAAAATGCTCGAGTCTCATATTCATTATCCAAAGGTTCCAATGGCGATTTTGAAATTGATAGTGATACAGGTTTAGTGACTGTTGCAACAAAGCTAGATTTTGATAAAAGAAATACCTACAATATAGAAGTTATGGCTGTGGATCATGGGGAACCTGCTTTAACTGGAACCACAACTTTAACTGTAAAGATTATTAATACAAATGATAAGTTACCATATTTCGTGCCTACAACTCAAACAGCAGAGGTAAATATATAGACATAAAATACCCATAAAATGTTTCAAATAAATTCTTTCAAGGTCATGGAAGATGCTTCTATCGGCACCATCGTTCACACTCTAATAGCACTGGATCCAGACGTAAATTCTTCAGACGCTTTAAACTTTGCAGCTACAGAACCAATAACAGCTTTGGATAAGCATGGCAATGAGGTTGTGAGCTCGGACATGTACAAGCAATTTTTTTCTGTGGATAAAAATACTGGACAAGTTATAGTGGCCAATTCATTGCAACGTGATTTGGCTGCTGTGATTCGTATACCAATTTTGGTTACTGATATTACTGCTCCGTCTGTACAGCAAGGACAAGGACTTTTAGGTAAGAATTGTGTAACATTTCATTTTTGCCATTACAAGGTTTGAGCAACTTCTCCTTACCGAGTTTAATAATTGTTCGATTCTTATTTTGCTTTAGATTAAAGAAATACGTATTACGTAAGCATTTTTGGGCGTGGCAATTTGGCGCCCAACGTGGGGCGAAATTATTGTTGCATTGCTTGAAACTATTATTAAATTTCCTAGCTTGATTTTTATTGATCATTAGTTCCGAGTCAATTTAGATTTGAAGTCTCACGCTTGCGCAGTAACTATTTCGCTTGTTTTTGAATATTTTTAAATTAAATTTAAACGGTTCGCTTTCTCATTCTATTCAACAAAGAATTGAATTTACTGTCAATTTTTTTTTGTTTGCCTATTTAGGTGTAGGTACCTACTCATACAGACCACTTGGCATAGTAAATAGTTGTATGCGCCTTTCTTATACGAAATAAAGTTCTTTACATTTTTATACATTGAATTTTTTTGCCTAACTTAAGGCTTATTTCGTATTGTTGGATTTGGACTTTATTTTATCTAGAGCTTATATCTACTATCTGGTGGGTTATTTACAAAATAGAAATGGATTATAAAGTGAGAGCCGATAATTTGAGAAAGCCTGAATTGCTATGGGAATTGAAGATAAGGGGCATTCCAGTGGATGACACTTCGACGGTGGAGAAAATGAAAGCAGCGCTAAGGCCTTTGATAAGATTGGAGAGAAGGAACCAATCATTGAGCTACCCAGATTATACTTTCGTTTTTGACAACAAAACTAAGTATATACAAGAGTGTATACAGCTAGTGACTGGTCTCCTAACCGGACACTGGCACCTAAGACGCCATCTCCACAGCATGGGCATTACGGACGACCCGGAATGCCGCTGGTGTATGGAGGAGAAGACGGCAGACCACGTCATCGGTGAGTGCCCTGCACTCACGCGCGCGAGGTTCAAGCACCTGGGCAAGTTGAATTGCTTGCCCGATGACGTCAAAAGGATGAAGCCAGGGTGCCTGATTGGCTTTTCTAAGGACAAAGGTCTCTGGAAGAATTCACTGGGGCACGACGGGTCCACCACAGGAGACCTATGTGCACTACGGTCGCGGCCACCCACTCTTTCATTCATACAAGATAGTGTAATAGAGACTACAACTCTCATGAAATCTTTCACTGGTTCCAAGGCCAAAATAAAAATTGAACGTTCACAATCAAGATTGGTGCAGTTCCTTCGTAGATTGGATATTCTGCCCAACGATCAACTGACCAGTGAACAAGTTAAACTAAAAGCAAATCTGCTCATGGAAATTCCTAATGCAGCTACATTAGAAAAGCGTACTAAACAAGATCCCAGTTTGAGCTCTATGTTGAACCAAACTCGTTTGAGTGACTCGTCTGAATCGGATGATGACAATGTTTCTGTTGTATCTCGACCGGCTAGACACTCAACCGCCGCAAATACTTCATCGCCTAATAGTTCTATTACTTCTTCCGCCATAGCGTCGACATCAAACACAAATACACATGCACGGACATATGCTAAACCTCAACAGGTAGAAAAGTGGGGAATCAAATTTACGGGAAACACAAAAGTAATATCCGTGCACAGTTTTCTAGAACGAGTCAACAAGCTCAGAAGAGCAAGGAATGTTTCGGAAAAGCAACTTTTTGAATCGGCAATAGATTTGTTTGACTCCAAAGCCAAATAATGGTAAAGATCCAACTGTCATAGATTCGGAACATGGAGCGAGTTATGTGATTTGTTGAGGAAGCATTTCGAGGAACCGGATTACAAACCAAGACTGTTCAAACAAATAATGGATCGTACCCAAGATTCCTCAGAATCCCTAGTTAGTTACTTAGCCGATATGAGTGGACCTTTCAGAAGGTATGGAGGTATTCCGCTTGACGTACAGCTAGATATTGTCAAGTAGCTGCTTAGGAAAAGAGGACCCGGTATTCAACCTTATTATCTTAATTGCCGATTCGGTCGAATGTTTACTGCAATTCAGGAATAAATTGATATAAATAGTTGGCCAAGCCAAGCAACAGGCAGACTTAAACCAGTGCAACTACCTCTCGTTGGGAAATTCCCTCTGGAATTAAGTCTCCCCAGTGCAAGTACCTGTCGTTGGGAAAACCCCTCTGGGTATCTTCAGTCTTATCGTTGTCCAGCGCAAATTACCTCTCGTTGGGAAAGCTCCTCTGGACAAGGCATAAGGGTGACGATAACAAACCGACAGTCCCCAAAGCAGCGTTGACGTGTGGCTTCCTATAAGGACCCCAGTGTTCGAAGGGTCATGCATCCTATAGGACTAGCGTATATGTAAGGGCATATTTGGGAAAATATATATCTACACTTTTATACAACTTGAGCGAGTTTCTCTCCATCAACCCCCAAAGCTACAAACCCCCCATGTCACCCCCGTAAAGCGGGCAGTTGTGACAATATCGTTATTAGGAATTTGGCTCCATTTTATGAAACTCAGCTTCCCGTCGTAAGCTCAATAGAAGAATTGGAGGACGAGTGCTTAAAACTGGAAACGAAGAAATATAGAGCCGATCATTATTTACCACCGTCAAGAAAGAAGAACACATTTGTGGAACCGGATTTCGCCTTTGTATCAACCTCTTCCACAGCTGATAGTAAGCTGGAAACATCTGCCGATGTTGATGTCATCAGTTCTCAACATTCTCGTCCACCATCTGGTCGCGTCTCAACGTTAACCTGCTGGAATTGCCAGGAGACGGGACATATGAACCGAGAACGCACAAAACCAAAAAGGACTCATTGCTACAGATGTGGAGCACCTAATGTCATGATTTGGTCGTGCCCAAAAGGTTCGGGAAACGACATAAGGAAGGGTAAATAGACCATGAGATTTCTTCCATTCTTGATTTATCGGTCGTTTCTACAGATTTTCCCCAAAAGATAATTGTGGATTATATCATTGATCATGTCCACGGTGATCAAAGAACATATTTGGAAATTTCTATCTTGGGATACAAAATGCGAGGCTTGCTCGATTCCAGTGCTTCGCGCACAATTGTTGGGTTGCCAGACTTTGAGGTTTTAAAAAGCTTAGGCCTTCAAATGTTAAAACATAATATGAGCTGTACGGTGGCAAACGGACAAAGTTGCACCAGTACTGGCTATTTTCAAGTTCCCGTCACCCTGATGCATAGAACCAAAATTATTGACATCCTGATCCTACCTGCACTATCCCATCCCTTGATCCTTGGAATAGATGTTTGGAAATCCATGGAGTTGGTTCCGGACCTAAAACAAGATATATGGCATTTTTCGAATCTGACACCAGAGGAGCGACTTGCTTTGGATAGCTTAGTTGAGCAAAAATTTTCCGAGATGCCTGAAGTGCTTGGTCGTTGCAACGTTGCGAAACAGGAAATGGAGCTGCTGCCTGGTACGAAACCTATCAAGCAGAGGTACTACCCAGTATCTCCGATGAAACAGAGGATAATAGATGACGAACCACAAGAAATGTTACGTTTAGGAGTGATTGAACCATCCAAAAGCCCTTGGTCCAGCCCAGTTTGCTTGGCTACTAAGAAATATATGGCTCCTATCGCTTTTGCATAGATTTTAGAAAGCTAAATGCCGTAACAAAAAAAGACGCGTACCCTTTGCCATACATTTCATAAATCCTGGACCGCCTTAGAGATGCTCGTTACATCAGTTCTGTGGATATAAAGTCAGCCTTTTGGCAGGTGCCTCTAAATGAAAAATCGAAAGAGTACACAGTCTTTACGGCTCCGGGACGCCCATTGTACCAATTCACTTGTATGCCTTTTGGGTTGAATAACGCTCCAGCCACTTGGCAGAGAATTGTGGATAGCGTTCTTGGTTATGATTTGGAGGAGCATGTTATGGACTACCTCGACGATATAATCGTCATATCCAGAAAAATCCCGGATCATCTAAGAATTCTTGCCATTGTATTCGACAGACTAACAGATGCTGGACTTATGATCTCTAAAAAGAAATGTCATTGCAAACCACAACTTGAATATCTAGGTTATCTGGTCGACGCCAAAGGATTGCGCCCGAACCCTGAAAAGGTTGAGGCGATTGTCAACATACCTCCTCCAACCAGTTCACGAAATTAGGATATTTTGTGGGACAGCGTCTTGGTACAGGCGGTTTATTCCCAATTTTTCGTCCTTCATGGCGCCAATAACCTATCTGACTAAAAAGAACATAAGATGGAACTGGACTGAGGACTGCCAGAGATCTTTTAATCTTATTAAGGAAGCACTTGTTAAGTCGCGCAATAAGCTTTTCTTAGCTTCGACTTCTTTTTGCCTTCTAAAGTCTTCGAGTTCAGCAAAAAGTGAGCGTAGAAAATCAAGCTCCGCTGCGTCGGGCGGATTTAGGCTTGTTGCGGCGACCGGGACTTCAGGCTCGTTAAAATCGGATTCTGATACGGCCGCAGGAATGGGGCCTTGACTTAGAATCATGTCCAACTCATCTAGAGTGGCGCCGTATAGGTCTGGACTGTATCTGTCCGTCATTTTTGTCGATTGTCTGTGGTCGGTTTGGGATGTCAGTTGTTCTTGGGGTGAAACAACAACCCTTTTTGTTTCCCACGGGTGTTTGTACAACTTCTCAGTTGTACTGAGAGAAGGTCCCGCCAAAATCACCTCGCTGGTTCTTTAAGGAATGAGCTAGCGGACCAGCAGCCTCCAGAAAAAAGGAAGTGAGAATTGACGTTTTTTGTATGATATGTGAGCAGGGCTGCAACTAGGTTTTTTGAAGTCCGAGGGGCCAAAGTTATATGAACACGGTGTCTAGAAACTTATGTTTGCAACGACAGTACGTTGAACTCAGATGGCACTGTGAGGAGACCGTCGAGCGGCTTCGAGAAGTTAAGTGACATATAAAAACACGGGGGAACAGAAACGGTGCACCAGGTCCGAAAACCAGTCTAACCTGAGGTTCGTGTGTTTTTGTCAAAGTCTCATCTGTACTGTAGTGAAAAAGCGGTTTTTCCTAAAAACCCTCCATAAAATTCAAGCTAGAGGTAGTTTCGACTTTTGTTTGCTCATAAAACTCTGTTCTAACTTGGCGGCAATCTTGCCTTTGTCTTTGTTTTGAAATTGAGATTTTTCCGTGAAAAATTTCAAGAAAAATTCAAGCTGGGGGTAGTTTCGACTTTTGTCTTCTCATAAAACTCTGTCCCAACTCGGCGAAGCTAATCTTGCTTTAAGTTAAATTGAAATTGAGATTTTTCCTAAAAAAGCCTCAAGAAAAAGAAAAAGTCAAGCTTGGATAATTTAGACTTTCTAGTCTTTTTGCAAATTCTGTCCCAACTTGGTGAGCCTTTGGAGGAAGAAAATGATCATTTGATTTTTGAGTTTCAATTCGACGTGGAGCTTGCAGAAGAGAAGAGAATTTTCATAAAAATTCACGAAAATCGTCGAGGACGGACACGGAGGGGACGGAAACCTTTGAAGAAGGTGTCCAAAAATAAAAGTGGCAAACGCGGAGGAGGAGTCTAGATTTCCTAGACGGAAAGCTGCACGAATGTGCCGAATTGGAAACGCGGGGCTCAATTAAGAACCAGAAATCAAACGATTTTTTCTTTTTCTTCTAGACAGTTGCCCTGAAAAGGACTTTGTCGGGGATTGGTGGTAAGCTAATGCGAAGTACTCCTCCAGGACATCAACCTCCAGTGCGAGGATTAATGCGGGTTTCGTTGCATCGAACTGGGCTTTTCCAGAAGCCTTATTTCGCGCCCGAGGGGTCGTAACGTTGGCTCTCTCGTTTCTTTCTTCGTACTTATGACGGTAGCTCGCACCAACAATGCTCTGAGAGGTTCGTCTACCGGCCACATAAAGTGATCCCTAAGGCAAGGTGACCCACACCAAAGCATTGCCAGCCTAATACGCGCTCCTAAGTGCCGGGTACATGTCACAGCACTTCTGCCTAACAAATGAGGGGAGAGCTGTTCTTGTCTCTGGCGCAGAGAACGGGGCAGACAGGCAAGATGAAGTCTCAATTACTGTCTGAAGAGAACTGACTGGCTTTGGCCTGAAAACGGCTATTTTTATGTTTCGGCGCTACCCTTCACAAGCTCCGCCCACAACGAAAAACAGCCAATCCCATGCAACTTAACAGTTACTGCTCCCATTTTGACCTGCCCGGATTTTAGTAGATCTTTGACCTTGCAGACAGATGCGTCCAACTATGGACTCGGCGCAGTTCTCACCCAGGAGTTTGAGGATGGCGACAAAGTCATATGTTATCGGTCACGATCTTTAACGCGGCAAGAACAAAAGTTGAGCGTCACTGAAAAAGAATGTTTGGCAGTGATATGGGGTGTGGAAAAGCTAAGACATTACCTCGAAGGGCAAAGGTTTACAGTTATCACTGACCACCACTCTCTATTGTATTTGGCAAACTTAAAGGATACACAGGGACGATTAGCTCATGGTGTTTGCGGTTACAGCCCTACGACTTTGAACTTATTAATAGGAAGGGCAAAGAACATGTGGTTCCTGTCTTTTTATCAAGATCCGTTTCTGTTGTTGACATTGATGTCATTCATGTTGATGAAGTTATCAGCAATAATTTGTCTTTCGGCCAAACCAAGGATAAATGGTAGAAAAACATGTTTTTAAAATTAGAAAAACAGCCTGATAAATTTCCGAATTGGCGAATAGAAAATGGGTTGTTGTACAAATACGTTAAGTCATCCTACCCAGAACTCATAAGTCCAGCTACCTCCTGGAAGATCGTTGTTCCCAAGGACAGACGCCTGGAAGTTTTAAATAGATGTCATGATATTCCAGCTGCCGGACATTTTATATCGTTCTAGAAAGTTGGTGAACGTTATTTCTGGCCTAAAATGAGAGCCGACATTACTCGTTATGTGGGGAGTTGCCAAATCTCTGCTCAGAATAAGGTGGAACAAAAAGCTCCTCCGGGACTTATGGGTGATCGACCTGCAATTAAGGAACCGTGGCAAAGTATCAGCTTCGATTATATTGGACCCCTACCGAGATCGCGATCGCAAAATACCTGTAACTGGCTATTTTAGCAAGTATACCGTTTTATTTCCATGTCGTTCAGCTAAAGCAAAGTCTTTATGTAAATTCGTCGAGGATGGCATTTTCCTAACATATGGGACGCCGCAATATTTAACCTGTGACAATGGGCCACAGATGAATTCTAAAGAATTTCAAACTCTTTGTGAGTCTTATAAAACCAGAATTTTCTATACTCCTTCCTACTACCATAGAGCCAATCCCACAGAATGAGTCGATAGCGTTCTAAAAAGAATGATTCGATCTTATATTTCTAAAAGAAACCACAAAACCTGGGTTGAAAACTTGGCGGCTATCGCATGTGCAGTAAGGACTTCCAAATCTGAAACTACTAACCATAGTCCATATTTTATAAATTTCGGACGTGATCATAAGCTGTTTGGTAGTGATCATGAAGAAATCAGAATAAGGTGGAACAAAAAGCTCCTCCGGGACTTATGGGTGATCGACCTGCAATTAAGGAACCGTGGCAAAGTATCAGCTTCGATTATATTGGACCCCTACCGAGATCGCGATCGCAAAATACCTGTAACTGGCTATTTTAGCAAGTATACCGTTTTATTTCCATGTCGTTCAGCTAAAGCAAAGTCTTTATGTAAATTCGTCGAGGATGGCATTTTCCTAACATATGGGACGCCGCAATATTTAACCTGTGACAATGGGCCACAGATGAATTCTAAAGAATTTCAAACTCTTTGTGAGTCTTATAAAACCAGAATTTTCTATACTCCTTCCTACTACCATAGAGCCAATCCCACAGAATGAGTCGATAGCGTTCTAAAAAGAATGATTCGATCTTATATTTCTAAAAGAAACCACAAAACCTGGGTTGAAAACTTGGCGGCTATCGCATGTGCAGTAAGGACTTCCAAATCTGAAACTACTAACCATAGTCCATATTTTATAAATTTCGGACGTGATCATAAGCTGTTTGGTAGTGATCATGAAGAAATCGTTCAGTTGGCAGATAAGACTGATTCTGATCTGGATGGCCTAGTCGAGAAAAGAAATCATATCTTTAAAAAGTTATATGCTGAGATATTCCAATGAATTGAAGCGTCAAGAGAGCGTAACAAACATCGATATGACATACGTAGAAGACCAGTGCAATACGTCGTCGGACAAAAGGTTTGGCGCAAGAATGAAAGTCTCTCGAACGCCATCAAAAACTACAGTGCTAAATTAGCTCCGGAATTTTAAGGTCCTTTAACCGTCAAAAGGAAAACTGGTGGTTGGACTTATGAACTTGCTGATGATTATGGCAATTATAAAGGAGAATGGCACGTTCAAGAATTGAAGCCCGTTTATCCACCAGAACCACCCGATATTGATACAAGTTCCGATTCCGATGACAAATAGGTATTACCTTTTTTTAACAAACGATAAGCTCATTTCTTTTATGATTCTTTTAGTTTTTTAATTTTTTTTTGCGAGACTTCATATCTGATTGGATTTTTAGTAGTTATTCTTCACTTCCCTACCACTGTTCCTGTTCTATACCTCGACTTTCTTGTCTATCTATCATTCATCTTTCTTTTTATTATCTATCGTCCGTCAATTCTTGGAACTCTTGGAAGGGGGCAGTTGTAATATTTCATTTTTGCCATTACAAGGTTTGAGCAACTTCTACCTTACCGAGTTTAATTGTTCGATTCTTATTTTGCTTTAGATCAAAGGAATACGTATTACGTAATCATTTTTGGGCGTGGCAATTGTATATTATTTGTTGTTGATTATTATATTCAAATATATTTTTAGTGGTCACTATTCAAGACATTAATGATTCTCCACCCAATTTTGTACCGCCCTGGACCGTGGATCGTCCATTATATTCTTTAGAAATCAAAGAAGAACTACCAGTTGGTACAATAGTGGCCACTTATAAGGCTTTCGACGAAGACTCTGATATAGAAAGTTACGCCATATCGCCAGAAAGTGAATATTTCCAAATTAATCGTGGAACTGGGATTGTGCAGATAAAAAAGACTATTGATTATGAACAGACTAAAGAATTGAATTTTACTGTTTGGGCGTATGATAGTGGTTTGCCTCAACTCAACGTTTCTGCTCTAGTTCACGTTAAAGTGAAAAATGTGAATGACCACGATCCAATTTTTACTCAAAAATCTTATAATGTATCCATTGATGAAAATTCACCTAACGGTACTATTATCTTACAAGTGAAGGCTGTAGATAAAGATGCTGGTGCTTATGGAGAAGTCAGTTACGAATTAACTGGAGAGCATAATGAAAATTTCCTCATAAATCCTAGCACTGGTGAAATAAGTATTGAAAATTCGAATTTTTTGGACCATGAGAAGATTACTGAGTTTGTTTTGCAAGTGATTGGTAGGAAAAATATTTTTGTTTGTAAATTATTGATGTAATAAATATTACATTTTTACTTTAGCCCGTGATAATGCTGCTGCTAATGTGAGAAGATCAATGTCAGTACCAATTTATATAAAAATCAATGACCTCAATGACAACGCACCAAAATTTACTGATCAATATTATGAAGCTAATGTAATGGAAGATGTTAGGTTGAACCCTCCTGTACCGCTTATTCAATTAAATGCCACCGATTTAGACTCTGGCTTGAATGGCAATATCCATTATAGAATATTATCTGGAAATGACAATGGTACCCAACTGAACAAATATAATCTTGTGATTGTTTTAATTTATTTATTTTTTCTCAGATTTATTCCTTATCGGTATGGATACAGGTATTATTTATGCTCACAAATCGCTGCTAGGTCAAACCAGAACATTCCATCTGAAAATAGAAGCCAGAGATGGTGCTGGTGATGGTGATCTTTACGATAGAGCCGATTTAAAAATTCACGTGATTAATGTAAACGATCATAAACCTGTTTTTGTGATGCCTTATTTGCCTAATTCGACTGTAGATGTTTTAGAGGTGAGATTTTTTAGAAGTACTCAGTCAATATTTGAACAATTATTTTTTAGAATGCTGCAGCTAAAGGTCTCATAGCTTTAATAGTGAAGGCTACAGATAAAGATCAAGGCGAAAATGGACGTGTTACATACCATTTGAAGGTGCGAGATGAAATTGTACAGGAGACTGACGATTTTACTATTGATGAAAAGAATGGCGAGCTAAAGCTCAAGAGGGACTTGGATAGAGAGGAACAATCAAAATATGAGGCAAGGTTTTTTTTTCAAACTATTTGGGAATAATAATGATTTAGTAAAAAAGTTTTTTCCGGGCTATAATGCCATAGTCGACAAATGTCAACGTTTCGTCTACTGCTGCAGTAGCCATCTTCAGAGATGGTACTGGTAGAGGATGCAGTGTTCTCTTCCGTGTTCTTCCAATGACTGGATTCTGGGTTGTTGGATCTGCGTTAGATAAATCCAGGGTTGTGGGCGTGGCTTGTATTACGCTATTTACCTTGTCTCGTTCTTGGAGAGGAAGGCTCCTTGTTTTTCGGAGAACTGGCAATCAGCTTTTGTTAGGGTTCATGCCCTCTTCTTTTCTGTTGAAGTTGTTGTGGTGTTTCTGTATCTCTATGGCTTCTCTGAGGAGTCTAGTATAAAAATGTTTGGTTCTATCGAATGCTTGAGCTAGACTTACTCATTGACTACGAATTTCACTTAATTTTTACTCATTTTTGACAGAGATTATTATTTTCCGAAGAATTTTATTAATTTTGAATTTTGACCGGGAACTTTACTCATTTTACCGAAGTACTTGACTCAATTTTGACCGAAAATTTTATTCACTTTTTACTCGTTTTAATCATTTTTCACATGAGAATTTTACTGAATTTTGACCGGTAATTTTACTCATATTTTACCGAAAAATTTTACTCATTTTCGACCACGAATTTTATTATTATTTGATCGAGAATTTTATTAATATTTGATCGCGAATTTTATTAATTTTTAACCGGGAATTCTACTCAGTTTTTACTGATTTTTGACAGAGATTTTTATTCGATGAAAGAATTTTACTCTTTTTTCACCGGGAATTTTTTTACTGTAGACTTACTTAGTATTGACTGCGAATTTTACTTAATTTTTACCCATGTTTGACAGAGATTATTATTATCTAAAGAATTTTACTTATTTCGAATTTTAACCGGGAATTTTACTCATTTTACCGAAAAACTTGACTCATTTTTAACCGAAAATTCTACTCAGTTTTTACTCGTTTCAATCATTTTCTACAGGAGAATTTCACTGAATTTTGACCACGAATTTTATTAATTTTTGATAGCGAATTTTATTAATTTTTGACCGGGAATTTTACTCACTTTCTACTGATTTTTGACAAAGATTATAAGAGAATTGTACGCATTTTAACCGGGAATTTTTTTACTGTAGACGCACTTTTTATGATTTTTGGAAATTTTCATGATTTTTGTGAACTTTTATGATTTTTGTGAATTTTTATGATTTTTAAAATTTTTGTGAATTTTAATGATTTTCGTGATTTTTGTTATTTTCCTGATTTTCTTAATATCCATGGTTTTTTCGAATTTTTGTAAACTTTTGTAATTTTCTTAAATTTTTATGATTTTTGATTTTCATAAATTTCCATGATTTTTTGTGAATTTTTATGATTTTTTTGGTTTTCTTGATTTTTTGTGAATTTTTATGATTTTCTAGAAATTTTCATGATTTTTGTGATTTTTGTAATTTTCCTGATTTTCTCAATGTCTATTGTATTTTCGAATTTTTGTAATATCTTGTATTTTTTCAAAATTTTTATGATCTTTGTAAATTTTCATAATTTTTGTGAATTTTTATGATTTTTGGAAATTTTCATGATCTTTGTGACTTTTTATGAGTTTAGAAAATTTTCATGATTTTTGTGATTTTTGTAAATTTCTATGATTTTCGTAAAGTTTGTAGTTTTCCTGATTTTCTTAATTTCTATGATTTTTGACCACGAATTTTATTAATTTTTGATCTCGAATTTTATTAATTTTTGACCTGGAATTTTACTCACTTTTTACTGATTTTTGACAGAAATTTTTTTCGATAAGAGAATTGAACGGATTTTTTACCGGGAATTTTCTTACTGTAGACGCACTTTCTATGATTTTTTGTGAATTTTTATGATTTCTAAAATTTTTGTGAATTTTTATGATTTTTGAAATTTTCATGATTTTTGTGATATTTGGAAATAAATTTTTATAATTTTCATGATTTTTGAAATCATCCTGATTTTCTTAATTTCTATGGTTTTTTCGAATTTTTGTAATCTTCTGTAATTTTCTTTTTTTTTATGATTTTTGTAAATTTTCATGATTTTTGATTTTCATAAATTTCAATGATTGTTTTTTTTTTTGAATTTTCATGATTTTTAGAAATTTTCATGATTTTTGTGAATTTTTATGGTATTTGTGATTTTTGTAAATTTTCATGATTTTTGATTTTCATAAATTTCTATGATTTTTTGTGAATTTTTATGATTTTTGGGAAATTTCATGATTTTTGTAATTTTTCATGATTTTCGTATTTTTTTTAATTAAACCTGATTTTCTTTTAATTTTTATGTTTTTTTTTCGAATTTTTGTAATCTTTTATAATTTTCTTGAATTTTAATGATTTTTGTAAATGTTTATGATTTTTGATTTCCATAAATTTCCATGATTTTTTGTGAATTTTCACGATTTTTAGAAATTTTCATGATTTTTATGAATTTTTATGATTTTTAAAATTTTCATGATTTTCGATTTTTATAAATTTCTTTGATTTTTTGTGAATTTTTATGATTTTTGAAAATTTTCATGATTTTTGTGATTTTTGTAGGTTTTTATGATTTTCGTAATTTTTGTACTTTTCCTGATTTTCTTAATTTTTATGATTTTTTTGAATTATTGTAATCTTTTGTGATTTTCTTAAATTTTTATGATTTTTGTAAACTTTCGCATAAAATTCTAGGAGTACGATATATTTAGAATTCTAAAGAAATTATGCTGCATGCTGAAGAAATTATATGGAACTTACATGCAATTCCAGAAAATTACATGAAATTGGAAAAAAAATAATAATAAGCGGAATTCCAGTGAAATCACGCAAAAATTCAGAAAAGTACTTGAAATTACATGAAATTTCACTGGAATTCCACTGGAATTACATGAAATTCTAGCAGAAAAAAAAAGTGGAATTCCGAAGAAATTCCATTGATTTTTATAATAAAATGAAATTCAATTTGCATGACTCATTGAAAAGGTAAATTGCTGCGGAGGTGCAAAAGTGAGTAGACCTTTGCATCAATTCACTCATTATTGAATTGTTCAAAAACATCTCTAACATCATTCAAAATCATTCACTGCAGGACAGACATCGGTGTCCGCTACGTGGCCGACGCACCACGCCAGGGCGGACACCGGTGTCTGCCGAATTAGAAAATCGACGTTATCCTCTATTCTGTCCACTACGAGACATTTTGAAGAGCGGACATCGGTGTCCGCCGCGTTGTAAAAATCTGGAAATCGACTCGCTATCGTGTCCGCCAAGGCGTGGTTTTCAGAACGGACACCAATGTCCGCTAAATTCGAAAATCGATTCCACCAAAATTGTGTTCACTATGGCGCATTTTTTTTAAAAGCGGACACCGGTGTCCGCCCTGTCGTAAATGGCAAAACTCTTACCTATAAAATCGCAATTCACTCATTAATGAATCGTTCAAAAACAGTTCTAACTAACCGAATATGAGCCAATTTTCATTGAAATTCGATTTCATACTAACCCATGGACAGACATCGGTGTTCTCTAGATGGTTGATGCAGCACATCATGGCGGACACCGGTGTCCGCCAAATTCGAAAATCGACTTTATCCTTTATTGTGTCCGCTATAACGCATTTTTAAGAGTTAGCACCGGTGTCCGCCGTGTTGTAAATCGAACATAAGTGAGTAAACCTCCTGTAGCAATTAAGGTGTACCTTTGTACTGCTTTTCTTGCTTCAAGCTGATCTCAGTAGCAGATTGGCGTTCATTTATCTCATATAAAAGCTCATAAAGCAACTCCTAGCAGAACTTCCTGTATTTTCGAGCAGCTAGCTAGTACAAATGAATAGCGTAAATGCAATAAACCTCTGCTTTATGAAAGTGTCCGTTTTTTATGAAAGAAATATGGTAGTGGCACCCTCGGTAGTACTCAAAAAAGGAAAGTGGTGAGGTATTTGGCTATGCTTTATGCGAGCGAATCTATAGCACTTACAATGGGTCTGAGTGGGACCTGTTTTGTGAATCTTCGGATGCCCATATATTCTAGGTGGCAAGGCCTCAGACTCAATGAGTTACCTTATGTTTTCCGTTTCTAACGGTAGTGCTCGGACGAGTTGATTGGTTTTTCGCAATATAGAAGGATTGCGCTACAGCTTTTTGTAGGTGGAGGGGTCTAGCAGTTCGGAAATTTTTGATTCATTGACCGGCCGTGAAAGCCTTATTCATTCTTTATAATAATGATTTTTCTTTTGTAGTTGACTCTAGTTGCTCGTGATCACGGATCACCAAAATGGTATCAAGAAGAACGTCATCTAACAGTTCTTCTGGTAGACGAAAACGATAATCGCCCAGAATTTCCTGGTTCGGTTGCTGCCAATCCGTATCACTTTTACATAAGTGAAAATAACGATCCTGACACGTTAATTGGTCATGTCCAAGCTTTAGACATAGATGAAGGCAAACACGCTGCAGTTTACTACTATATTTTAATTGGAAATGAAAATAATGCGTTTAAGCTTAATAGAGCTACTGGAAATTTATACTCAATGAAATCGTTTGACAGAGAAACTCAAGATGAATATAATTTGGTTATAATTGCCAATAACGATCCAGATTTTTATGTTACTGAGGAGGAAATAATGGAAATGGAGAAATTGGGAATGTTGGAAGATAAAAGCATAGCGCATGTGGTTGTGACAATTAAAGACGTCAATGATAATGAGCCTTATTTCCAACGACCAGTTTATTATGCTGCCATTAACGCCATGGCAAATGTTAACCAGTTTGTGGTTAATGTTAGCGCTTTTGATCCAGATTATGGAATTAATGGGTAAGAATTTATACTAATATATGTATTCAAAGTTAATTTTATTGCTTCAGGTCATTAACATACTACATCAAAGCTTCCAACTTGTACAAATATCGCTCCAATAAAAGTTCTGGATCAATAATTCCTTCTCCATTTAACATAAGTCAAAAAGGAGAAATGTACACAGCTACTTATTTGGCTGAAAACAACCAGCATCGGTTTGTAGTTGACATAGTTGCTAGAGAAGATGGATTTCCTGAAAGAGAGGCTTATACCCAAGTGCAAGTAAGAAGCTTGTTATTATCTTATTGGCATTTTTTTTCTTATTGAATGGTTTTAGGTTTGGATTTTTGAGCCTGAACAATTAATCCGAGTGATCTTATCAAGACCCAAAGAAGAAGTCATGAAGGAAAAAGAGGAAATTATTACTGAACTAGGCAACGCTACGCAATACTTGATTATAATCGATGAAATTCGGTTTCATGTAGGCAATGGCGGAAGAAAAAATGAAGATTGGACTGACATGTATATTTTGGCTGTTGATCAAAGTACTAATTCCATAGTACCTGTACCAGAAGTCTTAAAGATTATCGATAATGGATATGATTTTCTTAAAGATTACTATGCAGGGTTTGCTATTGAGAATGTTGTGCCAGCTTTTGTACAGGTAAGCACTTATTTTAATGGGGAAATTTTTCTAGCTTTATTTTCTAGGAACGAGAAGAATCCTTTGATCCAGCCCTAGCAGCCTTAATAGCATTGATGATAGTACTTTTTGTAGGAGTGATTTCTTTCATAATAGTTTGTTGTTGCTTACGTCATTGGGTAATATCGCCTACAGATGATTTAAAGAAAAAAGACGCACTCATTAAGAAGGCTATTATTGATGATTTGACAACAACAGAGAATCCTTTGTGGATAGAACAGTGAGGATTTTTATAAAGTGTCTTGGTTTTGTTAATATTTTTTTTTTTAGGAAATTGAAACTTTATGAAGAACAAGAACTTACAATGCAAGTTTTTAATGAGCCTGAATTAGGCTTGGCCAATAGAAGGAGTAGTAATGATGATGTCCCTGTAAGTACCTACTTATTTTGTGTTAGCTGTAGCTTTGGTTCTTTTTGGGCATGTTAATACTAACTTCGGCGACTAACCCTAACATTCTCTTCTGTTTTTGTTCTCAAAAGCACTCTCAAATATTTCTCAGGAGGACAACACGTACGCTACCATTCAGCATCCGCATAGGAGGCAACAATCGAACGTAACGTCTGGAACGGGAGTATCAGACGACCTGGGAGAATACGCTACACTATCCAGGATAGCGGCGACCCATCAACCTGGGAGTAATAGTAGTTCGATGAGAGGAGCACCGAATGTAAGTAGAGAGTGTTTTGGAATTTTTATATTAGGCGTTTTCCAATTATCCAGGACATTGGATAGTTTTTCGTGGGGCAATCAAATGACAGTGATAATCAAAATTATGATTATAACCGGCTGTTTTTTCTCTTATTGACTCAAACACTATTTTCGACAAAACAACTCATTTATTCCTCGAAAATTGTACAAAAGATCTCGACCAAAGCTTTCAATCAAGTTAAACTACCTACATTATATATAACAAATTAAAGTAATTAACCTTAAATTCTACAATCTAGATTAATAGGAATACGTGTAAGAATAATTAGCTCTTCATGGGCTCGCAGGAAAGAACTATTGGTTACACTCGTCAATTATCGGGAGTAAACACACCTTTTGCACAGCACGTTTCAAAACGCCTTGTGATGTATGTACAGAGTGTCCGAATTTGGATGGTTTTAATAGGAAACATCAAGTTCTGAGCAAGATACAAAAAAATGAACCCCCCACTCCGAGGCTCAAATTTCATGAATTTTTGATTGGTGCAAACCGCATTTTGATATCTTCAACCGTTTAGCCGCTAGAGGGCGATTCTCGATTTTGAGCAATAATGTGAAACCATCATAACTTTTCTGTTTATGAAAATTATTGATTTTTAAAGCAGAATTCAGTGACGTTCTCAGTTTTTTTCTAGTTGGTCCCAACTCCGAGATATTGACCAAAGTCTGGTTTTTTTCAATAGGACACTCTATATATTAATAGCTCATTAGAAAGCTCGGCTTCTTCTGATTTCAATGATATAAAGTTCGATAGGTTTATCTCTAATAGTTTTCGAGAAAAAAAATTATTTCGGTTTTTGTCCTGAGAAGTAATGTGTAAGAAAAGGACTTTATATATGTAAGGAAATTGAGAAAGGTCTCTTTCTAACTCATTGTTTCTTATGACAAAACCCGAAATATTTTTTTTCTCGAAAACTGTTAGAGATAAACCTATCAAAATTTGGATCATTGAAATCAGCAAAAGCAGAGCTTTCTAATGAGCTATTAATATATAGGGTGTCCCATTAGAAAAAATCGGATTTTGGTCAATATCTTGAAATCGAGGCCCAATAGAAAAAAACTGAAAACGTCACTGAATTCTGCTTGAAAAAGTGCTTCTAGGAAGTTTTTACGGAAATCAGTTATTTTCATAAACAAAAAAGTTCTGAAGATTTCACAGTATTGCTCAAAATCGAGAATCGCCCTCTAGCGGCTAAACGGTTGAAGATATCAAAATGCGGTTTGCACCAATCAAAATTTCAAGAAATTTGACCCTCGGAGTGGGGGGTTCATTTTTTTGTATCTCGCTCAGAAATTGACGTTTCCTATTAAAACCATCCAAATTCGGACACCCTGTACACTAACCACTCTCACTAACCCATCATTTCCAGCCTGCACATCTACAAACTCTGCCCTATCTCCACATGAGCGGTGGAGTATTTTCTTCCTTAAGAACAACCATGGTTCCATTTTCAATGTTCGACTGCGTGTCGTTCCATACTTGGAACGGTGTTGTAAGGTGGTTAAATATGTTAAATATTCTAAAGACCACCGAGACCAAATATGCTGTACCATTTGTTGTAGCATGTGATACTTGCTCAGGCGATTGATTGGAACATTGAAACATCACTTTATGGTATGGCATGGTTAAACCTTGGAAGTCGTTTGGACAAGGGCGTGAGCGGTCGCGAATTCAACACTGCTTCCCCTTGACAAAACACAGTTGATAATTGTTCAAAAGTCAAATTTGAATTTCCTACCACCCTACTTACAATTCGCTTAGCAAACTTAACTGATGACTCCCATAAACCACCTTGGTGTGGTGATCGAGGAGGAATATGTTGCCACTCGATACCTAAGATCTCATCACCTTTTTCAATTTTAGCCAAAGTTTCACATAAAGTTTTAATTAAATTTATTATTCGCTCCAACGAAGTTGATTTCATTATAAGAATATATTTTAGAACAGAGACCCCGTCGAGATACGAGCCGTTTCAGACAATTCAAAAAACCTTGAGTGCTTAAATCACCCACTAGCTCAATGGGCACCGTTTTAGTCACAAAGCCAATGAAAATACACATATAACCTTTGACTACAGTTCTATTGCGAAGCTTACCATTCCTTACGTTAAAAGGGCCTGCATAATCTACGCCACATATATGAAAAGGTCTTTGATATGTAACCCTCTCACAAAACAAATTTCCCATTTTTGGATTAAAGTAGTGGGGTGGGGGTTCTAAAACATGTTACACATTTTGACAATACACTACCAACTTCCCTTCTCCAATTTATTATCCAAAACTGCTGTCGTAATTTGGCCAATAAAGTTTGAGGACCAACATGTAGTTGCTTTAAGTGTTCCTCAGGGATTATCAACCTGGTTAAAGGATGCTCCTTGGGTAAAAGAATTGGACACTTGAAATTATATGGTTCTGGTGCATAACGCAGGCGCCCACCAACCCTCAATAGGTCATCATCGATAAATGGGTCCAACGATTTTAATTTACTCTTGCTTGATAGCATGGACAGAATAAAATTCTTGTTGTTGTGCAATTTTAAGTAACCTATTAAAAGATTCATTGAACTCGCAATGATTTTTTGTTTGTATAAACGAGAAAATCTATTAAAGATAGAGATATTGGGAATTACAACAAACGACATTTTTTCTGTTCGTTTTCCAGGGATTCAGTCTAAATTTTCGATGTTAGTTCGCAGCCAACAATCACTAGATCTTTGTAACCATTCCGGTCCTTGCCACCAAAGCTCTAAGTTTTTCAACTGATTTGTAGTGACACCCCTTGATATTATATCTGCCGGGTTTTCATTCGAGCTAACATGATTCCACTGAGCATTTTTACAAAGCTCCTGAATCTCTGCGACACGATTATTGGCTACGAAAATCTTCCATGTGCTTGGTTCTTTTGCAAGCCAAGACAAAATAACGGTGGAATCGCTCCAGAGAAATATTCTACTAGTATTGATATCGAGTGCAGAAACTACCTTACTAACCAAACTAGCCAATAGAACAGCTCCGCAGAGTTCCAATCGAGGAAGTAGGGTGCTTTTAAGATAGGGATTACATGGGACTTCGCACATACTAATCCTACTAACAAATCGCCCTTTTCATTCATAGACTTCAAATAGACACATGCACCTCACGACATTTCACTTGCATCCAAGAATCCATGTATCTCGAAGTAGCATGCATTCTCTATGCTATGGTGCAGTGTCGTGGGATTTGAATTTGATTTAATGATTCTAACTATGGCTATATATATTATTCCATAATGCGAATAAATCTAAAGGAATCGCCTCATCCCAATGCAGGTTGAGCTTCCACAAGCCTTGAAGGATAACTTTAGCCCTAACTGTGACTGGCCCAACTAATCATAAAGGGTCGAAAATCTGTCACAAATAAGTCACAGATAAAATAAATCGTTTCGTTACACCATTATTGTTAAATTCTTATGGATTTTTCCTCACAATGAACTCAAGTTTATCAGATTTGGCACATTATTTTGACATAAACGAATTAAAACTTCGAAAAGTTCATCTTGTACTGTAGGCCTTAGCGTCAACACATTATTTAAAGATAGTCCTGTGGATGTTTTCGCACATGCGTCGAAAACCACCCGCAGCTTAGTAGTAAGACTTGATTCATTAACTACGTCATGATGAGGTAAGTAGTAAACATAATGTTGACTCTCAAATTGGTCTTTATCTATTTCGGTGATGTGTCCTAACTTCAGATATTCTTCCATAAATAAACAATACCTTATTTTCAATTAACGATTTCTTTAAAATTTGTTCTCTGTAAAATCGTTTTTTCATATTTTCTAAAGAGTGCCCTAAGTTTTTCACACTAGGTTTTACCGGTAGCGCAATAGAAAATCTACCTGTAGAATCTCTTACAACAGTGTTTAAAAACATTTCCTTGCATTCTGTCTCTTCGACCGAGTAGAGTTTTTTCCCAGTGCATTTCTCTAAAGTCCAAAATTGTACTAACTGAATTTGTAAATTATCCTGAACAATGACACAAAGAACCTGATTCATTTCTCACCGGGTTAGTTTCCACCAGAGGCCCAGAAACTATCCAACCGAACACACTCTTTTTCAAGGTAGGCTTATTGCTTTCCAATTTTATCTGCCCAGCACGAAACAAATCAAAGAATAAACCAGCACCACTTAAAGCATCTACCTTTGAGGACTCGTTGAATCTTGGGTTTGCTAAATTTAAATTTTTGGAAATGTCAAGGTTTTCTATGTTTAAGGTCTTAATAGGAATGTTGGCTGTGACATTATCTATCACCAAAAAGGGAATATCGAGCATGAAATTGTTATAACGAGATTTAATAACTGTATTAGTATGATGCAAAATTCTAAAGTCTGTTTTTTTTTAAGATAAAAGTCAAAATGACATTATGTTGGCAATTCAATGTGAATTTGTCAATGCTTTCAAATTTTTTCTGTAGAAAAGGCTTGTGTTGCCAACATAGTTACTAAATTTTTGACTTGGGGAATTATCTTTAAAAAAAACAGATTTTAGTAACATTTTAACCTACTCAAGTCACAGGAACATCTGTCATTTCCACCCTCAACCTTAATCTACTGTGTAGTATAACATACCCGGGTTCGTTCAGCAAGATTGAACGGTTCGAATTTTTTATCGCTTTTCAAACACAAATCTTCTGAAAAACGAATTAAAAAACAAATAGGACCTGCGCTGTCGAAACTTACTTAATTTTACTTACTTGACATTCGCCCGACAATATCAAAATTGGGGAAATTTGAGGTTAGTTGTGACATGTAAAATAAACGAAAAATTTGTGAAACGTCTACTTTATTATTTGAAGTAAATCGTACCGTTCTCAACCTGAAACTAACGAGGGGAAAGAGGACGGCAGAGAAACCCTCGATCTAACATTCCTCAAAAATCAAAAAATACTGTGTCATTTTAATAATTTAAGTCAATGTTTCAAT